GACTGTCTGACTTCAGTTTCTCTTCAGCCTCCAAGGCCCATGCTATTGAAAGAGGAGCCAGGCCTAAAAGAGTTAACTGAGATATCTTGGCCTGCTAAGAAACCCAATACCTGTGCTGCTGGAAGAACATTTTAGTTCTGGTTAACTGGTTAATATCATGTTCTGTTCTGGTCACTGGACCAAAGGCCTTATTATAGAAAGAATAGGAGTGGTACACACACAGGAATAAATTAAGTAAACTAGACGTTTGAATAAGATCTGGAAGACCCAGAGCCAGGATTTTCAAGCTTGAAGAATTCAGGTCAACTCATTGAAGAGGTCAAATTGAGGAAGACGTCCATGGTGACCACCAGAGGGATGAAGGCTTGAGGAGAAGACCCCACAGTAGAAGACTGGACATGTCTGGAAAGACTTGGCCCAGAGAGCAGTCTGCTTATTAATATGTGTAATAAATGATGTAACCATGGATCTAAAGTGTATAAAATGGCTTAGTTTTACACTTGCAAGTAGAGCAAGTTTGTCCAGCGTGAGCTGGCTTGCTCCCAATGTTGAATAAACAAATACCTTGCTTTTTAAAGATAAAAAAATGTCTCTGAGTAGTCTTTTGGGCCGATTTTTCAGATTCACTATGACCAGGCGCTGGCCAGTGTAAATCCAAATTACTGCTTTGCAGCATTCGTTGATACAATTTTGGATTAACCCTGCTGTCAGTGGAGTGAGAGGACAGCACAGCACATAAAATGATACCAATACGTGATCCAGACATTGACTTATAATTTCCAAAAGTTTCTGGCCTAGTGGAAACAAAGCTATGAAGCCAACCTAGCAGAGGCTGCTGGTAAAAAGGATATGACAGGAAAAGGTACAGGAAGAAAACAATCCATGCAAGGAAAATGTGTTGCTTATGTGCATCTAAATGATGAAATTATCTTTATGTATGGTGTCATACCTGATCATTATAACTGAATTTTATCAACTTTTTTTCACATATGCCTCCTGGGCCAGAAACTCACCGTAAAACTTATTTTTTCCTTACTTTATCTTTACTAACACTACACTTGTCAGTCATTACAATGACCCAACAGACTTACATCTAAGCATAGAATGCAGCAGCAGTTCTTGCTACTACTTGATTGTGAAAGAGAAACCGGAGACCCAACCCTATTAAATCAGCATTTAGCAACTTCTGATATTTACTCTCAATGCATATTCAATGTTGACAAGCCCATTTTTCATCCCTGTGTTAAATTATTAGTATTTATGAAAATGAACATGTGAGATACACAGGTTTTTTTGTACCTGACATCATTTGTCAGGAGATGAGATCATTCAGTGCAATTAAGATGATGACAGAGACAGATGGTAAATGATCATACCAAAGGATTATTATAGTTTCTTTTTGGTACCAGAATACATTACACAGTCAGATGCATTAGCTTAAAATGTCTTTTGGAATTATAATAATGAAATGTCAGTTGTATGGAGTTCACCATCCTCCAGATTTTCTCATTGCCAGGAATTAATACATAGGGAGGGGAGGGCTGTGCATAACAACAGACCTTCCAAGAAAAAGTCACAAATATTTGAAGAAAAACTTGCATACATACAGTTATGGAACATTTTCATTGCAATCTCTGTTTGAACAACGTAACGCAAGGAAGACAATTACAGGTAAAGATAGGAAGAAGTGTTACTAGTGTTATACTTTCATCTCTTAGCAGTTCAGTACTTTATGTTTGTTGAAAAGTTACAAAACTGCAGAGATTTATTTTAAGATGATGAAAAATTAACACAAACGCATCTACAACATCTCATATTTTTATTTATTTATGTTGACATACTATGAGAAAAATGCTTTTAGTTTAGTGTTTCCTTCTCTATGCTAAACTAAGCACATGCATGTGCTGTGTTCTAAACTGTGCTGTTTAAGTCATATATTAGCTTTCAACACACACAAGATATAGCAATGTGTGCCCTCATCAATGACACAAATTACATATCTGCCATTAATAAGACAAAAATTCTGAGACTAGAAAATTTTTTGGGAAAGATGATCTGCCACGTGATAAAGAATATTTAAAAAAAATGAAAAAGTTTGGCTCTAATTTTCTCCTGAAATGAGCAATACAGTCTATCAGAACTTCAGAAATCAGATCGTAAAAAGGTTTTGATCAAATGAATATATATGTTACTATGGATACCTGGTTACTAAAGCTACAACCAGATCTGTAAAATAATACAAGGTCATGACAGATGTGATAACTCAGAATCACAGTAGGAATCTACATTTCTTTGATTTGAACAAAGATTTTCCTTCTTTGGCTAATACTTCAGACTTCTACTATTACCCTTTTTGTGGCTGTTACTCCAGTTTTAAAAAAAAAGAATGAATTTGTGAGGAGGCATTTAAATGTATTATCTGACACTGCCATTGATGATAATGAATTCAACCTCTCAAGAAAATTGTACAGTCAAAAAAAATATGTAACTCCTTGATAGAGCCAGACCATAAAGAAAAAATAGTGCTGAGACCAAGTAGAAGGCACAGACACAAGGAAAAAAACTCTCGTCCATTGTTTAATTTCAGTCTGAAAAATCCTTTACTCTTAAGATTTAGAAACATACATATTTTAAAATGCATATTTTAAGGTTTGTTAAGCACTGCACGTCGTTGTATTGAAAAATTATAGAACTGTAGAATTGTAGAAGGTCTCTTTTTTGAACTGTGGGTTCTTTGTTGCAAAGATTTGATGTTCACAAATCCATAAAAACAGAGGCCAGACAAGTTTCGTAATATCTCAAGAAGAAGAGGAAGGTTGTTCTCAGTTAAGAAAGTTTGACACAAAGTTTATCTTGACTAAGGAGGAAAAAGAAAAAGAGCAAAAATAAGAGAAAGTTAAATGATTATTTTTAAAGGAAATACTTTCTTTTTGAAGGAAACACTTTTTTTCTTAAAGGAAATCCAAAATCTTATTTTAAAAATAAGAAGAGTTTGGTCAGCTATCCAGAGTGTGAGGAAAATAATTCTTGTTTGAAAATAGTCTCATTTGGCCTGTAGCAATTCAAATTGTTCATTTCTAGAAGTCATTTATAAGGTCTGAACCAATGCACAGTCAATTTATTAAAATGAGTTGGAATTTATTAAATGTTCTTAATCAAAATTAAGCCTTAAATGACATATGGGATCAATGCAGTTGGTAAGAAAACATGATAAATTGCTGCATACCACAACTCAGATATTTAAATATTGGTAGCCTGTAGTTTTGTGGAACATTAAGGACTAATTACCAGGGAAAATAAGTATAATACAGCCTTGCTAATACATATAGAGAAAAAAATAAAAGAGTAAAACAAAAATTAAACACATTAGCATATCCCACTGATGGAAAACACACTGAATATTTGAATCCCTGAAAAGAAATTGTCAAGGAAAAAAGTAAATTTAATAGTTAAAAAAATCCGTAATGACTAAACTTTTATGGGAATATGATGAGAATTTCAACCTGAGCATTCACTCATACTCCATAGCGTGCTCAGCTCTGAAACTCAAATCAATCTCTCTTTATTTTGGACAATAAATGATTTAAGAAGTGAATAAAGTTATTTTGCATTTTCTTCATAATGAGAACTCTCTGCAAAAAAAAAATCTGTGTTTTGGAGACCAACTATTTAAAACCTTAAAAAGATGGAATTTTCTGGCTTAGATACCTAACTTTCAGATATTCTGATTCAAAACCATTATTTTGTTTCAAAATGCAAATTTCTATTAAATAAAATGACCGAAATGTCGTAAATAGTTATTTTTTTGTCTTTCTCTGACAAATAAATGTGGATTTGGGTTGGTTTAGTTAGGAGGAGGAGTGAAAGTTTCTTCGCATGAGAAGAGATTTTACTTTCCCATGTGAGTCCTTTCCGAATAGCTTGAGAAGACCTTCAGCTCTAGAGATTATACAAAATATGTGCTTTGCTTTCTGCTCAATCAGATTTTAAAATATGTTATGATAAAACAGTAGAAAAGCAGCATAATGATCCAAATCCTATGAAGTGATCAACCTTTTGATCCTTTGTATGAACACTTCCAAAAGTTTTCAAATTGCATATATTTTGTAGTTTACTTGCACCAAAAACGACACTAAACATAGCAAACTGACTTCTTTAGCAAGCAACTGTAGCTTCTACAACACAATTGAAAACTGATCACTTCAGGATAACACATGTAAGCAGAATGACATTATTAACTTTATTCATTCCTCTTAAGAAAAAAAAAATAAAGAGATTTTTCAAGAGGTTTATCTCCAATGAGTTTTTAGTAATAATAAGTAATTTTCAGTTGATACATTTCCCCAGTTGTGAAACACAGTAAACTTCTGTTAAAGTAGGCAGTATTATTAGGAAGATTCAGAAGGTGCTGTCAGTGACACACAAACCACCAAACTGTAAGAATACCCTGGGACTCATTGAAAGCACATTGAAAAATGCCCAAAATAAGGAAAAATTGAAAAGATAGATTTATGAAAGCTAATAAGTTAATATTACAGAGGTTAATGAAGTAGATTGGACTCATCACTTGCCTTTAATGTCTTGCTTTTACAATGTAAGTCCTGACTTTAAAACCCTACCTTTATTAATCATATATTAACTCTACAGTAATACCTGAGGGAAGAGGAAAAAAACTTGAAGCAATCAAATTTGCCCCATCAGTGTTATTTAACTGATATGCTCCCCATGTACCACCATGGTTTTTATTTTCTACCAGTTAGTCTCACATTAAACTTTCATGTTTTTCCTCTTAATAGAATGGCAAGATAGGAGCAAAGGAAGGCCAGCTTGCAGATAAAGTAACAGATATCATTAGAGGGACTGGCTTTTGAGCATTTTTTCCATTGAAGACCAAGTTTGACAGTGGAATCAACAAACAGAAAAAAAAAAATCTTCTTAGAATTTCAGACATCAGTTCCTATCCAGAGGGAACAATAAAATTGCCAAAGTAAATATTGAACCTGGCTTTGAGCTTAACAGCTGAGGAAAAGGAAAGTAAAATAATCCATACTGCTGGAGATTGAAGGGTGGATAAACAACATACAGCACTGCACAAAAAAAGTCTGTGTTGGTGTGTTTGGATTGGCATTTAAAGCTGCACTGAATGGTCAAAATAAATGCTATATGCACCCGGAGAAATAGGGAGAAGAAGTGAATTGCGGGAATAACAGCAACATCATTCCATCTGCCCCATACTGAAAGGGAAAGGGCTATTTTCCCTCTAAAAGTGCCAACACAACATGTCAAAAACCTCAAGTGTAACTATAGAATCTCTATAATTGAATTTTAGGTGTCATGAAGGATGATACAGCAAGAGTCAAAATCATTTGTATTCAACTATTGCATTGTTCTACCTTGATTTCATAACAATTATTGTGAGCCTTGCCCTGATATTTTAATTGCTCATAAGTTCATTAGTGGTGGAAAACATTGCATGGCCGTGGTAGTACACATCAGACACCCATTTCAGTTTTGCTTTGTAGGAAAGAGGGGCTTTATTCTTCACCTCTGGGTTTTTTTCAATCTCGTGGTCACAGATCTCCACAAAAGGCAATTAGTGGTTTACAAACAGTCTGTGAGAACTAACCTGTATGCCCTATTTCAAAATATCAAATGTTGATGGTCATAAATATGCAGCTAACACATTAAGTGGTGAGGAGCTTGACTACTTGGTGCTCTTGATCAAACCAAAGTTTACATTTCAGACTTTGTCACGTGCAACATTTCTTCATGCCAAGTCGAGTTTAATGTGATTCATCAAACTTTAATTACAGATGTAGTTTACAGTGCTCCTCAAAATATTATCATCAGTAAAGTATAAAACTCTGAAATTTGCCAAATATTCTAGTGATGCTTAGATAATTTGACCTACTTTCTGATTACCAGAGACTGTAATGATGCTAAATGTCCCCTTAAACGTAAGTATGGAATAGAATATCTAACATTTACCAAGAAATATGCTTGTAGCAATGATTTCATGTGCAAAATAGTTCTATTTTAGAATAATCATAATCCTACAAACATATGGTGATTCAAAGCCAAACCCAAACCACAAGAAAGAACTGTATATTCAAAACAAGGAATGAACCTTTTTTTACTTGACACTGAAAGAAGTCAGTACAGAGTTGCATGAGAGGGACTGAGTTAATGTTGAAATTTTCCACACTCACCAAATCCCAGTGGATAAATACAGTAGCAAAAGTTGATTCTACACTACAGATTTGAGCTACTACAGAGGGTTATCTGCATGACCTTTAGGTAATGCATTTATACATATGGAAAGTCTCCTCAACATTTTACCTGAATTGAGACTTATAATACAGGACCTATACTTAAAATCCAGTAATCCAGTGCTATTACCATTTGTCCTGCCAGGAATGAAATGCTATCACTTCAAAAAGGTAGGTTTCTGCTAAGTGAGGCATGAGAAAATACTGTTAACAGTATTGTAACACAAGTTGGACATTCTGATGCAGCATAATAATTAAAACTTTCAAAGCTTACAGGAAAAAATATGTGTATACACACACAGAAAAATAAATACTGAAATCAATGCACATTGATTAAATGGATGTCAGGATTTAAAGCCTCAGCAGTGAAAGAAAATCTGAGAAAGGCGTGGCATTTTTACAGACTAATGTTAACATTTTATAAAACGTATTTTTAACATTAAACATAACTAAACCTATTCATTCCAACAATATAACTTATGTTCATGAAATTAAACTATACAGAAGTGACATATTGAGTTTTGCCCTGTGTCAAAGTAGGCTGAATCAGAACTGTACCATTTTTAATATGCTGAAACTTTGCTAAGGGTCTGGAAAAATATCTTAGAAACTTTATATGTTCTTTCGTTCTTATCTTAGAGGGTTTTTTAAATAGTCTTATAAGTAGCTATATAGCCATTATCTGATCACAGTAAGTTACTTACATGCAAGCCAGACCTGAAGACTGGTTAGGAACACATTCACCTTATATATTCCAGATAAAATGAAATTCAAATGGAAAAACCTTACCACCCAGCTCAAATTTTCAAAGGCAAACACTAATAATCTTCAAATGTATGAAGATTTCCAGTGCCATTTTAATTTCCTCTTAAGTATGTGCACATTGTCTTGCAGTCTTCATTGCACTGAACATTGGCTTAAATATATATATATCCCAAAAAGTTTTCCCCATTTAATTCTAGGAAGCAGCTCCCAGACCACAAGAACTTACTTAAACTGAAAAACAAAAATAACCAGTGTTTCTGGGGAGCAGTCAAGTTTAGATTCAGGGATGTGTGCAATGGAGAAGCAAATAAATCCAATAGAAGAAGAAGAATCAGGCAAGTTTGGCCCAGGTAAAATCTTCCTTAAGCTCAAGGAAGAATACAGGGGATAACTGACTGTTGCAAGAAAAACAAAAAGTATCTCAACATGAAGGGTTTAAAGGTGCAGGAATAGTACTCAGAGCACCGATTTTTGTAGGAAAAAAAAGTCTGCCTTTAAAAATAGCAGCTGGTGCTGATAGGAAGTTACAACACAAATCAAAATATTACAGTCCATTTTCTTATTTAACCCTGAGGTACAACGTTGATTTAATGTTAAACTTATAAATTCATTTTGCATGATGCTTAGCATGCAGAATAGAAATGCCAATGCCAGTGGCATAAGAATGGTAAACACCATTAACTTATGCCTAAGTGTACTATTTTTTAAAATAGTACACTCAGCAACTTTATATACTTAAAATCTTCCCAAAAAAGATGTTTCTCTGTCTATATAAAATCAGAATGGTTTTTATTTCACGGTATTTAAATAATTCTAGTAGTTCTGGATCCACTAGAACTGGGATTTCTAAAACATGCATATTAAAAAAAGGAGCTAGAAAGCCAATATTTGTACAAGTTATTCTACAAAGACTCTGACGTAATTCTGTTATGTTATTCGATTTTATTCAGTTATTTCACACAAGGTATAAAGAGATACAAACTAAAATTAATACCATAGCAATAGATATTTTATGACCTATAAAAAAAATTAAATACTAGCTCCACATATCCTATAAATTGAGAGTACAGGACTGACTAAGTGATTTAATTCATTCTTTTTGGTGTAGTATATATGAAGCATGAAAGAAAGCAAAAATGTTCTCCCCTCTAATTTTGACTTCACTAGAGAGACAAATATGCACCCAATGCCCGCTTCTGAGACACTGAAGTTCAAGTGATGCCCAAAGTCTGTGAACTTGCATTTCAAGACAATTAAAGAGTGGTTCTCAACACATAATTGTGGTCTTCTACACAGTCCACCTGATGGCCTCAGAATATCAAAATGCTTTTAGAACATAGGGCTCAAATGAATTTTTTTTTTAATTTTTTCAATAGTGCTCTCAAAACAAAGGAAGCATTTCCAGCACAAACAGTTACCAGCTGTAAAATATTTCTCACATAAACACATATTCATCTACAGTAACAGCACAACATGAATATCTGGTACACTAAACACATTCTGCTGCTCCTTTCTTTCTTGAGGTAGTCATTGCAATAATCACTTAACCTGGCAGCTAAATGAGCATGTACTGATTTATGTGTTTATATGCACTTAATCCATTTTCTCATTAGCTACACACTCCGAAGATACTGGATGTACTGGATGTTGTTGCATTTATAAATGAAAACACAAAATAATAATAATTTTTAATATGATAATTTTAATATAATATTTTTTTAAAAAATAATAATTTAAAATTAATTTTTTAGAATGATTGGGCAAATACAGCGAGTTCGTTACCTGCGGCCTTAAAATAAAATATATTTTCTCAGAAGGCTTGGCCAAAATAAATAATAAAAGAAGGCCCTGCAGCATGTCCCAGGTTTCCAGTAGTATTGATGTGAAGATTGAGGTTTTAATGCACAGCATCCTTTACCAAATAACAAATTTATCATCTATCATGAGCCGTTTCACAGCACTTCCAGCAGGTACATGCTGAACCTAAATGTCTGAACATGTCTCCAAAATTAGTTTTATAGATAGCCTGCAGCACACAAAGGTGCTGGAGAAGAAGACACGTTCTTGAGGAGTTAAAAGTATCAAACTCTGAATGCTGCAGAAACAAAAAGAGGAATTCAAGTCCTACTTTGCTAGAGGAAAATGGTCTCACTTCTGCATTTTCATTTTGGAGTTTAGAGTGTCTACCGTTTTTAAAGTCAAGCATTGTTTTTTAAAGCATTTTTAGAGCTGATAATGGCATTTTTAAAGCTAAGCATGAGGTTGACATTTTTTAAAATGTCATAGAATTAACAAAATTACAGTGGATCTCTGGAGGTCCTCTAGTCCAGCCTGTCACTCAAAGCAGGGTCAGCACAAGTCAGGTTGTGCAGGGCCTTCTCTGGTAAAACTTTCAGAATGTTCCCAGGAAGAGGTTCCAGTGCTAGACTATCAAGATTGTACATTTTTTTACTAACAAAATCATACCAGAATTGTAGCTGAAAATATAGCAAATTGTAAACTCAAAACTTTTTTTTTTATTTCGTGAGGCATCTATAAAATTACACTGTGATTAAAATAAAAAAAAAATTAAAAATGTAATCCAAAGGAAAAATTTTAAAAAATTAAATTAAAAAATTAAATTAAAAAATTTTAAAAATTAAATTTAAAAAAAATGTAATCCAAAGGAAAATTATCAGTACAGAATAAGTGCAGTTCCTTCAGAATTTTTCAATGTCTCGTTAGTGGTTTCATTTCTGAAACCTCACAGTCTTTCTTCATAGTTTTCAGGAACAACGTAAGTACAAAATTAGCAATATTAGACATTAGCACAATGACTTGGTCTTTAACATTTGACATTTAATGGTTTGAAACCAGTACTGAGACAAATGAAACGCATGCAAACTACAGATACATGATAAGAATAATGATAATACAGAATTTCTGGCCTAGACTCAAATCAGACTTTAAAGTTGAGACTTAAACATTGTG